CCGTTTGCTTCTGTCTCTTTTTGTTAGTGGACAGTAAACGTGGTTTTTAAAGTCATGAGCCTGTCGTCATAGTTACTGAATTGGACCCAGGAGTCCTGGCTCCCAGCTCCCCCCGCTCTAACCCATTAAACCCCACTCCCCTCCCAGAGTCAGGGAGAGAACCCAGGAGTCCTGGCTCCTCCCTCTCCCCCCATTCTAACCATGACACGTCAGAGGTGGCTGCATCTCAGAACTGGGTGAGCCACGTGACATTGCTGTAGGGCTGTTCCCCAGCTGTTCTACCCCAGAGGTGGCTGCATCTCAGCACCAGGCATTATTTATCATGACCCTCTTCCCAGTGCTTTGGTACCCCTGGGCCTGGGCGGTGAGTGTCCAGGCACAACTGAGCGGCTTGAAGAGCGAGGGAAGCACCCCTGAGGGAAACCGAGGCAACATAAATTTCTTCAGCCCGGGGAGGAGTTGGGAATGGCTTTCATTTAGCTGCAGCAGTGAAAGGGTTAACACAGGCCGACCTGCTCCGCATAACTCTGTCTGGAGCAGTAGCTGCCTCTCAGGTGCATTAGCAGAGTGGGCCCAGGCTGAGATGGGCGGCTGCGAGGGGGGGAAAGCGGGGGACGCGGCCCAGACACAGCCAAAGACAGTCCCTGCCCCAGCTGAGATCAGGGCCCCCTTGTGCCAGGTGCTGCCCAGACACAGCGAGAGACCATCTCCAACAAGCTCACAGTGTAAGTAGCCAAATGCAGTGATATACTCCCCATGTTACAGCTGAGAAACTGAGGCACAGAGGGGGGCGGGGACTTGCCCAGGGTCACACAGCCATTCTGTAGCAGAGCTGGGAATAGGTCCCAGTGTCCAGCATCCAAGGCTAGCACCTTAGCCACAAGGCAGACTGGCTATCCCACAGCTGACACCAGTCTCTATTTATCTCACTCCCTGCAATGACCCTGTCCCCCTCTCTGGCCTTAGATGTTGGCGTAGATGTGTTCCTCTGTGAATTGTTCCCTGTCGCCTCTCTCCCTGTAACATCTTCCTCCTCCTCCTCCTCTCCCTTTCTTCTCAAGGGCTCCCCCTCCTCCGGTGATGTCCTGTGTGGGGAGAGACCGGGTTAACTGGGAAGAGTGGCCGCCATGCCCAGGGGAAAGGATGGGAGGGGACGCCAGCAGGGAGTGCTGGAGGGGGGAAATCTCAGCAGAGGGGGATTCTGGGAGTGGGGGAGGGGATCCCAGAGCCCATGTGGAGGGGGAGGAGGAATCTCATCAGGGTGGGGGATGGGGCAGGGACAAGGTTAGGAGGTGCAGGGTCTGGGAACTCACCTGTCCGTGGGAGGGAGCCGTAGATGCTGGATACTCATAGATTTGACAGACCTACCCATCTCCGGTCCCTTGGCACTGTCCGGCCCTGGCGGGGCCCCTGCTGCCCTGCCTGGGGTGAAACCATCATCAACATCCCACCTCTAGGCCCATCTAGCCTGGTGTCCCGCCTCCTCCGTCCTGCTCCGATCAGACCCATGGGTCCATCTATCCCGATATTCCCCCGCCCACCACTGCCATCTCAATGCAGCAAAGCTGCATGTCGGGGGAGCCCAGGGCTGGCACACCAGGGGCCTGCGGGTTGGGAGTGAGGGCAACAGGTGGAATTTCACTCTTCCAAGAAGTGATAGTTGATCTTGGGGATCCATTTATTCCCCCATTCCAGGCTACAGTTCCCACCAGATCCTTCTCCCGTCCCGCCTGAGTCTTACCTTCCCTTCACGACTTTCCAGGCCACTGCAGCCCCGGCACCAACCAGCACGAGGCTCCCAGCAACCGCCAAGGCCACCATGAGTGTGAGGGAGAAGCCCGCTGCAAACCAACAGCTGGTGTGAGCGGTGGGATCGGCTGGGCGGCGAACAGCCCTACAGGGCTTGTAATGAACTGGTGGGTACGGTGTAGGGAGAGGGTCCCCTGAGCGGGAGAGCGGCCGAGGGCCGGCCTAGCCATGGGGACTGAGCTCCCTTCCCCACCTCTCCAGGGAGGCACAGAGGTAAAAGGGGGCAGGTGGGGACTGTGTGACTTATACGTGGGTTGCCATCTGTCTAAGTGGCTGGCACATAGCACCGTATTTCCTCACATATACATCTCTGCCTGAAGACGAACAGGCCACTGCTTTTAGCTAATGGCAAAACTGGATCCCATGCCCAGCCCCCGCCGGTCCCTGCAGTCACAACGGGCACCGCGGCCTGGCTCTCCCCATGGGCATTGGTGGCAGCGCAGGACACGTTGGCCAGGGCCCTGGCTGGGCCCCGCAGCTCCCCGCTTACGGCCGGGCCCCACGCCCACGAGGTCGCTCGCAGCTCAGGGCCCTCGAAGTCCCCGGGGAGGGTGCGGTTGGGCAAGCGCCACTCGAGGCGGGTCGGGGGTTCCCCTCGGCCGTGCAGTGACACGTGGCCCCTCCCCCGGGCCCGTGGCCCCGCACTGTGCAGTTCCCCTGTGGCAGCAGCGTTGGCGGGTCTGCAACGGAACATGGGATGTATGGGGGGATTTGTCTCCTGGGACCCCAGTGCCCTCCTATAGACCCCAGGAGTCCTGGCTCTCAGCCCACCCCCGCCACTAGACCCCCCACGCCCCTCCCAGAAGTAGGGATAGACCCCAGGAGTTCTGGCTCTCGGCCCACCCCCTGCCACTAGACCCGACTCCCCTGCCGGAGCTGGATGGGATCACTCACAGCGGACGTGGAGCCGGATGGCTCTGCGGGTGCAGACCCCAACCACGGCGGGGTACATGACGGTGCTGTTGTTCTCTTACCCTGGCAGAGCAGTGCGAGGATTATTTCAATGCAGAGCTTGGTGGAAGGGGGCATCTGGCTGGCTCCTGGCACCCACATCCTCCCGCTCCGCGGCTCCAGGGGGCAGCCAGTGCCTGGACTCACGGGCTCCGTGACTTTCTCCTCTCAGTGGCTTCCAAATTGCTACATGGTGCTGGTTTGAGAGAGGGCGGGGAAATGACTGAGCAGAGCGGGGCAGTGGGTACTAGTGGTTAGAGCGGGGCGGGGCTGGGACTCACACACAGGCTCTGGCTGTACTTACCCAGGGCCCGGGTGATTCTGCCCCGGCCCAGCGCTAAACAGGTGCTGAACTGCAGACACTGCAACTCCCCCCTCCCACAGGGAAACCACATCCTGCCAAACCCGCCCGGCCCCACACAGCGCAGACCCACAGGGCCCTCTAGTCCGGCGTCCCGCCTGCCCCCCAGCCATGTGCACACAGAGCTGGGGGCAGTGCCCTGTCCCTGTGTCCCTCCCCCACAGCCTGTGCACTCAGCCCCTGGGCCTCCCACACCCCGGCTCTGGTTTTCACCCCAGCTGCTGCAAATGTGCACGTCTGACCGGGGTGGTGCTGTCCGGGGTGCGAGCTGGGCTCGGGAGCAGCCGTGTCCCCTCCGCCCTCCAGCCCAAGATGCTGCGTTGCTGGCGACCTGCCCCCACTCCAGCCTCCGCCCACATCCAGCCTCCAGCCTGTGGCTTGCGCCACTAGCCGGCTCCTCACGAATTAAACTGCAGAGCGACCCCAGCAAGTGCTCGATCCCTGCCTCCCTCCAGCTCCCCGCTGGAGATCTGCCTCATGCACGGCCCGGTCCACTCCCGGTGCCGGATGGGTCCGTCAGCTCAGCAAAGGCCAATGTCCTGCCCCACCCCTGGAGTCCCCAACTGCGGTTCCCACCCACGCCGGTGTCGAGGGAATATTAACACAACCTGATTCACTCCTGCATGATTTGTCGCATCCTAAGCAGTAGTTCCTTTCACAGGCTGGCTGTCCTTGCAGCCTGGGGCCCCCTCCTTCCTCAGTTCATTGGCTTCAGATGTCTCCTGGTGGTTTTGGTCGATACATGGAAGAAGAGGAGAGGTAAAACGCAGGGCACTGTCTCTTGTTTTCATACCGCTGTCCTCTTTGAGGAGTCCCCCAGCTGGGGTGCAGGCGACAAGCAGTGGATGTGGGATTTGAACCGCCACAGCGATGAAATGTACATTTCTTGTTTATACCTCTCCCCGCCCCCTCCTGGCTGGACAATGGCTCGTTAACAGCTTTCTGGGGCCTTCGTGCCTTTGTCTCTGAAAAACTGGTACGTGGGCCTTACCCAGAATTACAGTAACAATCGTACTTTAGAATCTTATAACTTCATCCACGGTATTGGTACCCGTATTTCAGCGGGACAATGATGTTCAGCAGATTATGAATTTTCGAATGACACCACCCGAGGCATAATTTGATCAAGATTTATCATTTTAGGAAATGGGGTGTACATGGGGGGCAGGTTGTCACCCTTAAAGCTCAGTCTCAGTGCAACATGTCAGTGTGCCCTTCTTGTGGATTCACAGACACTTACCAGCCCCCTGAGCCAGCCAGTCCCCCCCCCCGGGAGGGGGGGTAGTTACAGATTGCATTGTATGTGTCTTTCTTCAGCCTGATTTCAGGCCCTTACACTTGCTTTTATTTGAATCTTTAGCTCAGCCTCTGTTAAAGAAAGTTCATTTTGGGTTTACTATTGTTAGGGGCCAAATCCTAAAGTTTGTGTTTGTATTATCATTGTTTAGTGTATGTGGGTGGCATCCATGTTAGAATCCAAAATGGAGTATTGGTCATGTGACCCGAGGGTTAGCTAGACTGCTTCCCGCCCTTTTCAACGGTCAGCAGTGGCGTAGTGGTAAACAAGGACCAGCTCAAACTGGTTCTGGGCGGGTCTGCAATGGGACAAGGGATGTGGGGGGGGATTTGTCTCCTGGGACCCCAGTGCCCTCCTATAGACCCCAGGAGACCTGGCTTTCAGCCCACCCCCTGTCACTAGACCCCACACACCTCCCAGAGCCAGGGATAGAACCCAGGAGTCCTAGCTCTCAGCCTCCCCTGCTCTAACCACTAGACCCCACTCCCCTCCCAGAGCCAGGGAGAGAACCCAGGAGTCTGGTTTGCCAGCCCCCGCCCCTCTAACCTCTAGACCTCATCCCTCCGCTGGAGCTGGATGGGGTCACTCACAGTGGACCTGGAGTTGGACGTATCTGCGGGTGAAGACCCCGACCAGGGCGGGGTACGTGACGGTGCAGACGAGCTCTTTGCCGTGGTCCCCCAGGGCTGGCGTGAAGCTGAGCTCAGAGCTGTAGTAGACACTGCCGTTTGCCAGGGTGACCGAGACGTTCCTGGCTGTGTAGTTGAACCCCCCTGTCCAGGTGATTTGGAGAGGGGTCCCAGAGCAAGTCCATGGAGCCTGGCAGGTCACATTCACCAGCTGTTCGGAGAGTAGCACCTCGGGGACCCCCAGCACCGTCGGCTCCATCAGCTCTAAGCAGGCGACACCATTAAAATTCAACTCAATGGGGAATTACTGGGGTTAATCCCTGGAACTCCCTGCCCCTGGGTATTAGTGGGGCTAACCCGCGGGACTCTCCGCCACTGGGTATAAGCAGAGTTAATCCTGCTGAGCTCTCCAGGGCCCCCCGGCCTCACCTGTCACGTCCACCAGCGGCTGGGTCTCAGGGTAGGTGTATTTAAAGTCTCCCTTCTCGAAGCGGAAGTAGTAGCGGTCCCTGTCTCTGGCTCTCACGTCGCTGATGCGCAGGGAGCAGTCGTCTGGGGCTTCCCACACCAGCCTGATCCGGCCCCCAGGATCCCACAGAACCCTGCCAGGATCTGTGGTGTCCACGGCCGGGCTGCTGTCCCTGTCGTCGTCCCCGAGGAACCAGTATTTGTAGGCGACCCCGGAGGACTCAAAATTGGCTGTGAAATTACAGGGGAGCAGGACGCAGAGACCCTGCTGGGCCGTGACGCGGGACGGGACCTGGATCTGATAGACGGGCACCTGGCAGAGCCGACCTGCAGGGGAAACAAACCAGCTCTGCCAGTGCCCCTCAGTCCTGACCCGCAGCCCCCCTAGATCCACCCCCACCCCCACACAGAGCTCTGCCGGTGCCCCTCAGTCCTGACCCACACCCCCTTAGATCCACCCCCACCCCCACACAGAGCTCTGCCGGTGCCCCTCAGTCCTTCGCTGGGGAGAGAGAATAAAAAGACACCAACAACGGAGCAGAGATGAAATATGGAAGGCTTGAGGGGAGTGGGGTCTAGTGGTTAGAGCTGGGGAGGGGGGCTGGGAGCCAGGACTCCTGGGTTCTCTCCTGGCTCTAGGAGGGGAGTGGGTGGTAGGGTTACCATTCGTCTGGATTCTCCCGGACATGTCAGGCTTTTTGAGTTTAAAAATAGCGTCCTGGGGGGGAATTTGTAAATGTCTGGATTCCCCCCATGCATGCAGAGTGCAGCACGGCCGACAGGGCAGCCAGCCGGATCAAGCCACTCGCTCGGGGCTCCGACAGCCAGAGCCCCTCCTCCGCTTCCCCGCTCCTCTCCCTTGCAGCTTCAGATCACTCCCCTCCTCTCTCTCGCCCCCCCCCCCCCCGCATTCGCAGATCGCCGGCCATTCGCATCGGGCCTCCGGCAGTCTGGAGCTCCTCCCCCTGCTACCCCCCCCCCCGCTGCCCAGCGCGCCGCTCCGTAGCACTCTGCAAGGGCGGGAACCGGGCTATGCGCTCCGTGGGGGAGCGCGGCAGCGTGTCGGGCTATGCGTGGAGCCCGACACGCTGTTCTAAGCGGCACGGAAAGGGGGTCAGGGGGTCGGAGAAGGGGCGGGGGGTTCTGGATGGGGCAGTCAAGAGACAGGGACAGGGGGAAGGTTGGATGGGTCTGGAGTTCTGCGGGGGGCTGTCGGGGGGCGGGGGTGTGGATAAGGTTTTGGGCAGTCAGGGGTCCTAGGGGGCCAGTTATGATGGGGGTCCCAGGAGGGAGCAGTCAGGGGACACGGAGCGGGGGGGTTCTAAGGGGGGCAGTCAGGGGGCGGGAAGTGGGAGGGGCTAGGGCGGGCTCCCACCGTCCTCTTTTTTGATTGTTGAAATATGGTAACCCTAGTGGGTGGTTAGTGGTTAGAGTGTGTGGGGGGGTGTTTTCAAGTCACTGACGGGTGCCGGCTCTGATAACGAGACTCGATTTCTCGCGTGGGTCAATATTTGCCTTTATTAGCAGTACCGGGTTTACAATGGCACCGGGCCCAGGCTCCAAAGGGGCCCCCGCCCGGCCCAGCCCGCTCTGATTGGGCTGCAGCCGAAAGCACGACCAGTTCTTCCTTCCCCCCCGCCTCTGTCCCGCCCCCAGTAGCAGCCAAGCTCCCCCTCCTCCGCTTCCCCCACCACCAAACAGCTGTTTGCCGGCGCTCCAGGAGGGAGGGGGAGGAGGCAGAGAAGAGGCAGGGAGTGGGGGGCTTGGGGTGCGGGATGGAATAGGGGCAGGACAGAGCAAAGGCGGGGCTCCTTCACTCCCCCTCTCCATAACCCCCCCCCCGTGAGACGCTCAGGGCAGGGAGCACCCCTACAACACCAGGCCACACCCCCAGCCCTCTGCCCTGACTCCTGCACACCCCTCACCCCCCCACGACCCCAGCCCTGACTCCTGCACCCCCCCACATTCCCACCCCACCTTGAGCACCAAATGGGAGCTCCTGCAGCCCCCCCATCCCCACCTGCACCCCTTGCACCAAATGGGAGCTGCCCCAGGTAAGCGCTACACACCCCAACCTCCTGCCCCAGCCCTGAACCCCCTTCTGCAACCTGACTCCTGGCCCGACCCTGCACCCCAACCCCCAGCCTGCTCCTGCACCCTAACTCCCTCCCAGACCCTGCACCCCCAGCCCTGAGCCCCCTCCCTCACCCTAACTCCTGGCCAGACCCCACACCCCAATGTTTTTTACGTTTTTTTTATAAAACGCTCTTATCCAAAGTGCTTTACGCTAGTTAGCTAATGGTACAAACAATATTTGGAAAGATCATTAAGTGGTTCGCCAAGACCCCCAGCGATTTTCAAGTGGTCTGTGGAAAAACAAGTTAGACGACAAGAACAATCAAGGTACCGCACTTTATTTTCATTTACTTGCTATTACTTATAGGAGGACTGAAAACCAGGGCTGGGGGGAGATAAGGGAGAACGGTCTTTTTCTTGGCTGGGTCCCAAAGAGAAGCCCCCAAAATGAAGCTGAGCACAGGACCCCACTAACCCTAAATCCGCCTCTGGGGCAGACCCCTCCCCCACTGCTCCCCATGCTGCAGCCAGGGGCTGACCCCCCCTCCCCAAGATCCGCATGACGCTGGCAGGATCTGGGGCTGACCCCTCCCTCGCCCCAGTCCCCCACACCACTGCCAGATCTGGGACTGACCCCTCCCTTGCCCCAGCCCCCCACACCACTGCCAGGATTTGGGGCTGACCCCTCCCTCGCCCCAGTCTCCCACACCACTGCCAGATCTGGGACTGACCCCTCCCTCGCCCCAGCCCCCCACACCACTGCCAGGATCTGGGGCTGACCCCTCCCTCGCCCCAGCCCCCCACACCACTGCCAGGATCTGGGGCTGACCCCTCCCTCGCCCCAACCCTCCACACCACTGCCAGATCTGGGGCTGACCCCTCCCTCGCCCCAACCCTCCACACCCCCTCCCAAGCTCCATTCTCACTGGGGCTGACCCCCCAAGCCCTGCTGCCTAACCCCTCGTGTCCCCACCCCATACACACACGTTTCTCCACGCCCCGCTAGGGGGGTGCACCGGACTTTTCTGGTAAACTGGGCATTTGCTCATTGGCTCTCGCAAACTCATCGGCTGGTGAGAGCAAACGGGATAAATGCCCGTTTTTGTCAGAGAAGTCAGGACGGCTGGGACAGAGCTTAAAAAGGGACCTGTCCCAGCCAAACGGGGATGTATGGACACCCTATTTCCACGCACGTGGGTCCTGAGGGAGTCCGGACAGGGCGGGGGAGACCCTGGCCTGGCTGATCATGCCAGTCCCGAGAGGCCGGAGTGATTCCCTGCCCTGGCACGGGACCGGTGAGTGGCCACGGGGCAGCGTGTGAGGGAATGGGTCTCTGGAGGTGGGGGGGTGGGGCTGCTGGCCAGTGGGGGGGTCTCTTGGAGGGTGGTGGGGGAGTTGTGAGTGTCGGGATGCTGGGCAGTGGGGGGGTCGTCTTGGGGGGCGGTGGGGGAGCTCTGTGTGTCGGGATGCTGGGCAGTGGGGGGGTCTCTTGGGGGTGGTGGGGGAGCTGTGAGTGTCGGGATGCTGGGCAGTGGGGGGGTCTCTTGGGGGGCGGTGGGGGAGCTCTGTGTGTCGGGATGCTGGGCAGTGGGGGGTCTGAGTGGGGTGCTGTGTAGTTGTGGTGGGGGCGGAGGGGAAGTGCACTGGGCAGTACTGGTGTGGCTGTGTGTGGGAGTGCTGGGCGGGGGAGGGGGTTGCAGGCCGCTGTGCATTTGTGGTGGAGGATCTGTGCCGGGGGGAAGGGAGGCTCTGGCCATAGGGAGTCGAGGGCTGTGTGGCCCAGCCTGGGCCCACCCCTGAGGGGAAGGGGCAGGCTGGCAGCACAGCGCTGGGCTGGCCACTGTGCATCTGGCAACAGCCGGTTTGTGTACAGTGCCCTGCACTGGGCTGGGTGGAGCGGGGCTGCCCCATTGCCCCTGGCTGGCCCCTCACTCTGGGGACTGACTCCCGCCTCCCTGGGCCATGCTCCTTTGCCCCTATGGGGGCACACAAATATATTCAGCGCCGGGCCCATAAAAGGTTAATCTGGCCCTGTTTATTAGCCGGTGAAAGAGGAAGTGGCTTTGGGCCGGGAGCCAAGGGCTGATTGGAAGGGGAATTCTACTCACCAGCCCACCTTTTCCTGAACATCTCATTCTCCCCACAGCTCTGCCGGTGCCCCTCACTCCTGCCAGACCATCCCTGGGCTCCCCCCACTCCACAGCTCTGCCAGAGCCCCTTTATTTCCACAAACCGTAATTTATTTGTCCAGGATCATGATTTCCCTCCCCCACAAGGAGGGGTGCAGCCACCCTGAAATCCCCCATCCCCCTCCAGTGTTGAAACCAACCAAGGGGAGGAACATACCAGGAACCAAGACTGCACCAACTCGCCATTTGCAGGTTCACGTGGTTTATCGACGTCCCAACAGCCCGAAGCACAAACCAAGCTACCTACTGAAGAAACCGCAACCTAAGGGCTGTTCTCGACGTTTGTCGCTCAAACGTTTCCTATGTAGTGACCATGCAAAGGAAGCCCCTGGTGCACCTCTGGCCACAAAGCTTACGCGGAAGGAAAGCGTCTCGCTGCTACAGCGGGGAAAAGTGGAGGCGCTTGGTTTGCCAGGCCCATCAGCAAAGCCAGGGCTGACGAGCCCAGTAAAGGGCTGCAAAACACCAAGCGTCTGGTCTGCAGGAAACCTCTGAGCCAGTCACGGGCACAGGCAGATTTAGAAGCACTTAATGCTGGAGACACAGCGCAGTTTGTGTCACAGCCCAACATGAGACCACGTGAAGTGCGTTGTCACTTGTTAACCCTGAATGTGGACGCTGGTTTTGAAAGACGCAGGAGCTGGGAAGTGAAGAACTGTCTCCCCGCAGTCAGACAACACGCAGACATGGCTGAGAAATGAACTGTGCAAATGGGTGTCACGTACGAAGTCACTGCGGACGTTCTCCTGATGGCCGTGGGAGGCCAGTAGATGCACTTCTAGATGTTCAGGTTATAGACGACACATCGGCCCCATCTCTGACAACCCACATCTCAGAAGAGTTAAATGCTTGTCAATTGGACCCCAAAGACATGCTGCTTCTGCCTCTGCTGGAGCTGCAAACTTCTCTGGAAGACACAGTGGACTACAAACTTTGCTCAGAGCAAGCTATAATCCTAATCTCTCCTATAGACACTGCAGAGGCCATTTTAAATGCAGGATCTGGATGATAATGGAGCAAATAATTAAGCAATCAATGTGCAAACACGTAGAAGACAATAGGGTGATAAGTAACAGCCATCATGGATTTGTCAAGAACAAATCCTGTCACACCAGCCTGATAGCTTTCTTTGACAGGGTAACACACCTTGTGGATAGGGGAAAGCGGTAGATGTGGTACATCTTGATTTTAATAAGGCTTTTGATACTGTCTTGCATGACCTTCTTATAAACAAACTAGGCAAATACAACCGAGGTGGGTGCATAACTGGTTGCAAAACCGTTCCCAGAGAGTAGTTATCAGTGGTTCACAGTCATGCTGGAAGGACATCACGAGTGGGGTTCCGCAGGGATCAGTTCTGGGTCCAGTTCAATATCTTCATCAGTGATTTAGATAATGGCATAGAGAGTACACTTATAAAGTTAGCGGACGATACCCAGCTGGGAGGGGTTGGAAGTGCTTTGGAGGACAGGATTAAAATTCAGAATTATCTGGACAAACTGGAGAAATGGTCTGAAGTAAATAGGATGACATTCAATAAGGACAAATGCAAAGTATTCCACTTAGGAAGGAACAATCAGTTGCACACATACAAATGGGAAATGACTGCCTAGGAAAGTGTACTGCGGAAAGGGATCTGAGGGTCATAGTGCTAAAAATGAGTGATCAGTGTAACACTGTTGCCAAAAAGTAAACATCATTCTGGGCTGTATTAGCAGGCGTGTTGTAAGCAAGACATGAGAAGTCATTCTTCCGCTCTGCTCTGCTCTGATTAGGCCTCAACTGGAGTATTGTGTCCAGTTCTGGGCGCCACATTTCAGAAAAGATGTGGACAAATTGGAGAAAGTCCAGAGAAGAGCAACAACAATGATTAAAGGTCTAGAAAAAGGTCATAGATCCTGAGGAAAGATTGAAAAAATTGGGTTTGTTTACTCTGAAGAGAAGCCTGAGAGGGGACATGAGAACAGTTCTCAAGTACATAAAAGGTTGTTGCAAGGAGAAGAGAGGTAAATTGTTCTGGTTAACCTCTGAGGACAGGACAAGAAGCAATGGGCTTAAATTGCAGCAAGGGAGGTTTAGGTTGGACATTAGGAAAAACTTCCTAACTGTCTGGGTGGTTAAGCACTGGAATAAATTGCCTAGGGAGGTGGTGGAAAATCCATCATGGGGGATTTTTAAGAGCAGGTTGGACAAACACCTGTCAGGGAAGGTCTAGATAATACTTAGTCCTGCCATGAGTGCAGGGGACTGGACTAGATGCCTCTCAAGGTCCCTTCCAGCCCTACAATGCTGTAATCTATTCAACTAGAACTAGTACGAGCTGCAGAATCTTGAAAAGACATTTAAAAATCCATAAATTCAATGTCTTCATCATACTCTTCTTCTCAGCAAGAGTCCGAAAAGCCTGAACGTCTTGGAGAAAATAGAAGATGCTCCAGGACTGAAGTTCAAGTTAGTCCAACCTGGGAAATCCTCTTTCTTCACCAAACAGAACGCCGTGTTCTGGGGGGAGTCGCCGTCTGCCTGGTCAGGAGCAGGAAGGAAGGAGCCTGCCGTGAAGGCCTGGCAGAACCGGGCATAGGAGAAGCCTCCGAAGGGGAACTGACGGCATTCAACAAGGGCAAACTTACAGCAAGAAGCCAAGAAGGCTGGAGCTGTCATGCTTCACAGAAGGCTTGAGTAGCCAGCTCTAATGTGGGTGACGGTTTTACGGCATGAGTTAGAGCTAATAAAATGGCCGTGACATATTTCTCAGTTGTTACCATGGTGCCATTCAGGCCCCCCCCCCGCCCTCACGGGCTCACCCCTCACCCCCTGTGACTTCAAACAGCCCCCCCACCCCCAATTTCAATTATTGGGGAAAATTCTGCTTTGAAATCACATTCTGCCCCTCACTCCCGACCTGCAGCCCCCTGCTAGTCCAACCCTGGGCTCTACCCTCCCCCCCTGCTAGAGCCCCTTTATTTCCCCAAACCATAATTTATTTGTCCAGTATCAACGCTTACAGCAGGAGGCATCTGGAACCCAGGACTCCTGGGTTCTCTCCCCAGCTTGGGGGATTCCTGCCAGCCCAGCTGTCTCTGCTGTTGTTCTCTCACCCTGGCAGAGCAGTGCGAGGATGATTTCAATGCAGAGCTTGGTGGAAGGGGGCATCTGGCTGGCTCCTGGCACCCACATCCTCCTGCTCCATGGCTCCGGGGCGCAGTCAGCGCCTGGACTCACGGGCTCTGTGATTTGCTGCTGTCAGTGGGTTCCAGATCACTGCATGTGCTGGTGGGAGAGAGGGTGGGGAAATGACCTAGCAGAGCAGGGGAGTGGGATCTAGTGGTTAGAGCGGGGCAGGGCTGGGAGCTAGGACTCCTGGGTTCTAGTCCTGGCTTGGGGAGGGGACTGGAGTCTAGTGGTTAGAGCGGGGCGGGGCTGGGACTCACACACAGGGTCTGTCTGTACTTACCCAGGGCCCGGGTGATTCTGCGCCCAGCCCAGCACTGAACGGGCACCGAACCACAGCTACTGCAACTCCCCCCTCCCACAGGGAAACCACATCCTGCCAAACCCGCCCGGCACCACACAGCGCAGACACACGGGCCCCTCTAGTCGGGCATCCCACCTGCCCCCAGCCATGTGGACCCAGAGCTGGGGGCAGTGCCCTGTCTCTGCGTCCCTCCCCGACAGCTTGTGCGCTCAGCCCCTGGGCCTCTCACACCCCGGCTCTGGTTTTCACCCCAGCTGCTGGGAATGTGCACGTCTGACCGGGGTGGTGCTGTCCGGGGTGTGAGCTGGGCTGGGGAGTAGCCGTGGCCCCTCCCTCTCCAGCCCAAGATGCTGCGTTGCTGGCGACCTGCCCCCACTCCAGCCTCCGCCCATACCCAGCCTCCAGCCTGTGGCTTGCGCCACTAGCCGGCTACCAGGGCCAGCTCCAGGGGTTTTGCCGCCCCAAGCAGCCCCCCGCCAAAAAAAAAACCCGTGATTGCGATCTGCGGCGGCAATTTGGCGGGAGGTCCTTCGCTCTGAGCGGGAGTGAGGGACCCTCTGCCAAATTGCCACCGAATAGCTGGATGTGCCACCCCTCTCCGGAGTGGCCGCCCCAAGCATCTGCTTGCCAAGCTGGTGCCTGGAGCCAGCCCTGCCGGCTACTCACTAATTAAACTGCAGAGCAACTCCAGCAAGTGCTCAATCCCTACGGGTCCATCAGCTCAGCAAAGGCCAATGTCCTGCCCCAGCCCTGTAATCCCCAACTGGGGTTCCACCCACGCCGGTGTCGAGGGAACATTAACACAACTTGAGTCACTCCAGCATGGCCGCTGTTTAGTGATGAGGCAGGAAAGTGAGCGTTGGGAACAACGGAAATCAAGACTGCCTGGGTAAACTCACAGCTCAGGTCATTGGCTAAATAAATAGCAAAGCTGCCCATTTGTCGAATCCTAAGTAGTAGCTAATAATGTTCAGCAGATTATTAATTTTTGAATGACACCACCCGAGGCATACTTTGGTCAAGATTTACCATCATTTTATGAAATGGGGTGTACATGGGGGGCAGGTGGTCACCCTTAAAGCTCAGTCTTAGTGCAGTTTCTTGTGGATGCACAGACACTTCCCAGCCCCTCAGGCTGGAGCACTTTAAGGGAACTGTGTTGTTTGGACTTCTGAGTAATCCGTGAGGTAATAAAGAAGCTGTTTTATGCTAGTTTGGTAATTCTAAATATTGGAACATCCACCAGCTTTTTGGGGTTTGGCTTCCCCATTCTTTGCAGTTCACCCTAATTGTGTGACCACAGCTGGCCCCCACTGGGACCCCAGTCAACATGATGAAGCCGTACTGACATGGCTGCACCAAATGAAAGGGGCTAATGCCAAGCTGCTGAGATGGGCCCTGCTCCTCCAGGGGTATGACATGGAGGTGGGCCATGTGAGTGGGAGGGCCAATGTTATAGCCGAAGCTTTATCACGGGGCGGGGGCCCTGAACTTCCCCAGGTCACTGGCTAAGTGATGCTGCTCCGTTCAGACTCGAAGGGGGGAGAGATGTGATGAAGTCGGGGGGGTTCTTGGTTTTTCCTTGTTTTTTCCAATGGTTTGCATGTAGAGGAGGTAGGACTCAGTTTCTCTGGGTGTTACTGGTTTAACGAGGTGATGGGAGAGGCAGTTTGATGTTACAGAGGCCCAGCGATGGAACTTGGGACCCCAGCCAATGGACTGGAGAATGGATACCCCAGCGACTGGTGACCGGGAGGCCCAGCTTGGGAGTCACAGCTGGTTCTGGCCAGTGGGAGGACAGTGGGCTGCGGGGAGAGGACCCCGGTGACCTGACCAGCCAGTTCCAGCCAGAGGAGGACAAAGGACGGCTGAGAGGAGAGTGGGCCCAGATGACCCTGTTTATCTGGATAGAAGACAAAGGACAGATGCAGAGGAGACTTGGATGTGCTGTGCTGAAGGAGGCCAGGCCTGAGGACCTGAGAGTTTCCTGTGCTGGGTTCAGATGCTCAATAAACCTCCTGTGTTACACTGGCTGAGAGTCGCTCCGGGCTAGAGAACAGGGTGGCATTATTCCCTCTGGGAGTGGAGGCCCCGGGGGCCCAGAGCGAGGGGACTCCCTGAGGGGGCCCACGGCACGAGACAGGTGTGCTAAGTCTCAGAGGTGCGGTTCCAGAAGGTGGAGGGGCTGAACCCCCGAGACAGAGTGGACCCCCGAGAAGGGCTGTTGCACTGAACGGGGTTCCCCTAGGGCAGTGGTTCCCAAACTGGGGTTCGTGAACCCCTGGGGGTTTGCCAAATGTTATAGGGGGTTCTCGGGGAAAAATTCCCTAATGGCGGCCAGAGCTGTCCCTAGGGACCCCGGGCAGCATGGGGCCAGCAGCCTGGAGCCCCAGGACTTCCAAGAGCTAAGCAGATCAAAGCAAGCATATCTATCACATTGAGGAGATTTAAACCTCAAGACTCCTTATAAGAAATGGAAAGGGAGGTGGATATTTTTTGCTGTTTTTAAAATTAAATAGGCAGCCAGTATGGTTTTTAAAATTATTATGAAGAACAAGTTTAAGCTTTGTTGTAACGTGCGTTGTTTGCATGGACTGCTCAAGACCTGACTGCTTGTGTAGGAGGAATTCTTTGAGTTGGCTTCTTAGACACCTTCAAATGTAACCCTTCTGCCCATCTAAGTTGGCAGCAACAAGGGCCGGGTTCTGAATCTAGGGGTTCTGTTTCAATAACGCAATGCAAAACCGGCTCAAACCCCCACCCAGTGGGGACAATTACATACCACCCCCTGGGTGCCTCTAAGAGGCAATACTTCCCCTCTCGCAAGCACGGAGTCTGAGTGTAACAGAAAATGTTTAATAACATGAGGTAAACGACATCAGCATTAAGTTGGAAAAACGCCACAAACAGGATTCATAACACAAACCAGGAGCGAAAAACTCACCCCAGCAAATTGGGTCGTGTCCTTTCCCTTTGGTTCTTGAATCCAGCAACCAAAAAATCACCCAAAGTCCCAAAAGTCCAACAGACCCCAAAGTCTCTGTCCCTGGTCAGTGCAGCCCCAGAGTAAAAAGGGGGGCACACAGGATGTTAAGGGGCACCTTACGTGATCCGAGGCCGGCTGTCAGTCTCTCCCTGGGGTTCCGCCACAGCCTTCACCACGAGCCAGTCCACTTCCTGCCGTCCCACAAACTGCTCCGCTCTACAAGCTGATCCACTCCACTCCGCTCCACTCCCCGACCTGTGAGCCGCTCCAGCCGTCCCTGCAAACAGCTCCGCTTGCCGGTCCTTGGGCCGCTCCAACCGGCCCGCTACTCGTCCCCACAAATTGCTCCACCAGCTGCTTAGCAATATAGCTTCAGGCTCCCCCACTAGTTAACACAGCACTCAGTGATCTGGCACAGTCAGGGAAC